GCTCTGCGATGGAAGACGTGGGGCCTCCATACAGAACATCAATGGACATCCTGGGGTCTCAGGGTTGAGTTTCGTGTGGAAGATTTTCCGGTTGTCGAGTTTCTATTGTACCAACCGCCCAGAAGGATGATGAGAGTAGGCTGCTCGTCAGGGGCGTGGCTTGCCCTGGGCGTGTTCCTGTCAGAGGGTGCACAATGGAAGCCCATGCCAAGAAACACCCTGCTTGCCTCCAGGGTGCCCTGGGTTTCTTGGGTTCTGATGGCTTTCCGATGGAAAGCGCTGCGTTCCCACACCAATAGTCAATGGACGTTCTGGGGGGGTCTCAGGGTTGCGTCTCTTGTGGAAGGTTACTTGTGGTCGAGCTCCTGCTGTACGCGGTGGGCCTGTTCTAGCTCGTCGTGATCCGGGCTGCGCCAGGAGAGCCCGCCCCCCGCAGGTCAACATACCAGGCGGCATCCATGATGACGGTTCAGCCAGGGCGATGTGGGGGATCGGCGGGATGATCATGTCGTGGGCCGCCGATCTGCTTACCGACCTCGCCGTCATGTTGCAGACGGCAGTGCACCTTCCAATGGCCGCGGACATGACGGTGATCACCCCGCCGGACCCGCAGGTGGGCAAAGCAACGGCGGCAGGGCTCCAGAGGCTCGGCTCCAGGTATGCTTCGGGCGTCAGCCTTTTGGGCGTGGAGGTCCAGAGCGGGCAGGCCAGGCAACTTCACGACGGCAGACCGCACACCCTTGGCAGACTGGTCTCGCTCGTGGCACTCCTTGTGCCGCTTGTGCTCGCTCTCGCGGCCATGCCTCGGCAGCACCCTCGATCAGAGGCAACGCTGGGGGGGGGGGGGGCATATGCCCAGGGGGGGGGGACGCATCGACCTCCAATCGCCGATAGGGGCCCAAAAGGCCACCCCGCCCAGGAACGGGCGACTCGCTATCTGGGGCCCCTCGCCGATCTATCGGCGATGTGTCGCCGATCCCAGGTCGATGTCCACCCCCCCGAGCTGCCCCCTTCCTTCCTCCTTCATCCTTCCTCCTCCTCCTCCTTCCTCCCTCCTCCTCCTGCTCCTCCTCCTCCTTTCCCCTTCTCCTCCTCCTCCTCCTCCTCCTCCTCCTCCTCCTCCTACTACTACTACTCCTACTCCTACTCCTACTCCTACTCCTACTCCTGCTCCTACTCCTACTCCTACTCCTCCCCCCCCGGCGCTGCCCCTCGCAGACGCTGCAACCGGTCCCCTGGCCGCGCTATCGGGGCTGCGAGCAGTGGGGTGCCGGCAGCCCCTCGGGGGGGGGGGGCCGCGGCCCCCCCCGAGGCTTCGTCGGCAAGCACGGCGCGAGCGCGCCACGCCGGGGGAGAGAGAAGGCGGGTCAAGCAGTGGCGAAGCATCCTGGCTCGCCAACAGGCCTACCAAACAGTGTTCGAAGACCCATTTGTGGCTTCCACGAAATGTTCTTGGAACATTTCTGGCGGAGTCTGTCTTGTTTTATCACATCGGGCTTATGTTCTAAGAACATTGTCTTTGTTATTGGGACATGTTTGGTGTTCTACGGACATTTCGTGGTAGGACTATAGGAATGCCGGGACGGTCGGTCCCTGCTCAAGAGGAGGCTTTCTCGGAAGGCGGTGGGGCCTCTCAGAAGCCCTCGCGCCGTCTGGGAGGTTTTCTGTGTGTCACCGGCGAAGGGATCGAAAACTTATCAGAAAGCCGGGGGACTTCCGAGCCTTCTGAGAATCACCGAGCGCGTTCTGCTACTCGCAAAGTGCCTACTCGCAACCGCCCCAAAAACACATGGCTGCCTCGATGTAAGGTATGGCAAATCCCCCATGGGGGATCGAGAGCATTTGCGAGTAGTTACAGTGGAAGCCCATGCCAAGAAACACTCTGCTTGCCTGCAGGATGCCCTGGGTTTCTGGGCTTTGCATGGTTTTGCGATGGGCAGCGCGACGTTCCCACACCAACAAAATCAGTGGACGTCCTGGGGTCTCAGGCCTGGGCTTCTTGTGGAAGGTCTCCTGTGGTCGAGCTCCCACTGCACTTTGCGAGTTGCGGAGCGCGCTTGTCTAGAGAAGGCCTTCTCTAGGGGAACAAAAAGTGGCATAAACATCACAACTCGGAGACTCCGCGGGGATTTCTCGGCGGATTTCGCAGATTTTTCGAGGAGGAGGAGGACGAGGACGAGGACGAGGACGAGGAGGTGGAGGTGGAGGAGGGGGAGGGGGAGGGGGAGGAGGAGGAGGAGGAGGAGGAGGAGGAGGAGGAACTTAAGGAGTAATTAGGAAGAGGAGCAGGAAGAGGAGGAGGCGGTGGAAGGAGGGGAAGGAAAAGGAGGGGGTGGGAGGAGGAGGAGAAGGAGGAGGAGGAGGAGGAGCAGGAGTTGGAAGCAGGATGATGATGATGATGATGATGATGATGATGATGATGCAGGAGCAGAAAGAGGATGATGATGATGATGATGATGAATGATGATGATGATGTATGATGATGATGATTATGATGATG